CCTCCTCCCTCCTCCCTCCTCATCCCTCCTCCCTCCTCCCTCTTCCGTAGCCATTTTGGCTCAAGATGCCTATTTCCCCAGGGGAAAAAGTGGATACCGCTAGTCCGCGGCCAGTGCCAGGGCTCTTGAGCCCGACAGCTCTCATCCCTCCGTGTGCCTCCTGCAGCCCGCAGGTGAGCTTCCTCCGTTCCTCAGCCCGTCCATGGCGCCCCCGCAACAGCGCAGTGCCTACGTCAAGTGCTATGCCTGCTCATACTCCTGGAACTACAAGACCAACCAGACGTGCTACTGGTGCAGCAAAGCATTGGCGCCGTGGACAGACTCCCCGCCTCCAGTTCAAGGTGCCTGGGCGGCCCGAGCCAAGGCCGCAGCCCAGGAGGACTCCAGCCGCTCCCAGCAGCCCAGCCCTGACGGAGGATGGGAACCGTGGGCGTCATGGCCCAAGCCCCGCCGCCGCCGCGGCAACGGCAATGGCAAGAACCAAGAGGACGACTGGTGGGCCAAGAACGACACCCCCAAGGCGCGCTCCGCAGAGGACATCCTCGCGGAGCTACAGGCGATCGCCCCACACATCGACAAGGCAGCCATCGACGATATCAAGTCGCAGATTCCGCCGCCCCAGCCGCAGAAGCCAGCCGACCTCAACGACATCTACAGCCGCGCCCAGGCCACGGAGCGCCGCTGCAAGAACAACCTCGACAGGCTGCTCGAGAGCGAGCAGAAGGCGCTCAGCTGGTACACCGAGCGCAAGGCTGCGTCGGAGGAGGCAGCCTACAAGTTGGCCGAAGCCCAGGCCGAGGCCCAGGCCGCCCTCGATGCACTCCAAGTCGCGCGCAAGGGCGGCACGGCCACTCCCACGACCTCGCAGCAGAACCCGACGTTCAACCTCACCAGCCTCCTCGAGGACGGGGACATATCCATCGAAGCGGGTTCGGCGTTCGATCTCCAAGGTCTCGACATCGACGACAGCGACCGCCAAGCATGGGAATCCCTCCAGCAGCGCTTCGCCACCGAGCTCAAGGCCAAGGTCACCGAGCTCTCCGGCAACACCGCCAGCCGCATCAGCCAGCTCCGCGCAGAGGCCAGCACCATGCGCACGCGCTTCGCCTCCAAGCGACAGCGGTCCGATGAGGACGGTCATGCCCGAGAGGGAGGTGGACCAAAGCCCGCCGCATCGGCGGCAGCAGGCGAGCCCCCAGCGCCAGCCGCAGCAGACGCTGATGGCTCTGCGGCCTCTTCGCCAGCGGCGCCAAGCGAGGCCGCACCTACTGCTGGCGCTCATCCTGACGGCAGCTTGGCCGAGCAGCCTGTTCCAGCGATCAACAAGGACCCCGACCTCGAAGACAAGGCACAGAAGATGCTCAGCCAGCTGCGCAAGCCTACTGCGACCGCCGTGGCTGGTGCCCAGCAGTCTCTTTAGCCGACTACTACCCCATCCTGGACGGATTGGTGAGATGGGACGCCTACCGTCACAGACCAAGATCTACGACAACCCACAGATCATCAACACAATGGACGCAGTCCTCGACCCGTTCGACGAGCTGGCCGAGTTGGACGGCCACATCGATTTCGCAGCCACAACGCAGTACGACACCGCCCCGCCCGAGACGCTGTCCTCGGTAGGGGGCGATGAGGCGGCGCAGGCCGTCGACACAGTGACATGGGACCCAGGGCAGCCGCAGCGCGCCGCGCTTGCCGACCCTGATGCCGCTCCGCCCGAGACGCTGTCCTCGGTAGGGGGCGATGAGGCGGCACAGGCCGTCGACACAGTGACATGGGACCCAGGGCAGCCGCAGCGAGCCGCGCGAGCCGTCCCTGATGCCGCCCCGCCCAAGACGCAGTCCTTGGTAGGGGGCGATGAGGTGGCGAAGGCCATCGACTCGACCGCAGAGGAAGGCACATGGAAGCCTAGCAGGCCGACACCCGACCCCACACCCGCCCACCAACACGGAGGCCTTATGAATCCCACGCCGTCAGACCACTCCCTGTTCTTTTCCAACATTACACAGTGGGGGCCGCAGTCGGAGAAATGGCTGGCAGGGCCAGGCAAACAGTATCAGATGGTGGCATTCGTTGAAACTCACATCTCGCATGGTAAAGCCCCCCTCATTTACGACAAGCTAGCAGCGGATGGTTGGAGGATATCATCCACTACAGCCACGCCGACCAGCAGATCCGAAAGAGGCAACACGGGTGGCGAGATGATCCTATCCAGGTACCACGTCCAGGCCACGACCTTCAACCACCTCCGCGACCTGGCCATCTCCCAGCGCAAGCCCGACCCGTTCCGAGGCTTCACGCCTATGGTTTGGCATAGGCGCTCTGGCAATCTAGTTGTTATTGCAGCGTACCTCGAACCCCACAGACAGATCGAGGGAGCTGTTCACGAGAAATTACTATCTCTGGGAGCTTTCGTTACTATGCTCACTGACCCGTGGACCATCCTGGCCGATTGGAATATGACACCTGAGCAGCTTGCAGCAACAGAGTGGCCCGCCAAATGGAATGCTACCATCGTGCGAGCGCCTGGAACCGCCACGTGCGACAAGGGACAGGGTCTTACGCTCGACTTCGCATTGGTCAAGACTGGCATCGAGCACACGTTCTCCATTCGCCAATGCCCCACCGTCCCCTGGGCCACTCACGTGGGCCTTGAAGTTCGTGCAGGCAGCGCAGACCCCTGGTGGTATCAGTCGATCAATACCCCTAGGGCATTCCCCACAGTGGACAGACCCAGGACCCCACCAGACCCTGACAGCAAAACCGCCATCAAGAAACGTAAAACAGCAGAAGCTCGAGCAGAACGCCTACGCGATCTACCTCCTGAACTCCAACAAGCAGCTGCACAACTCCAGCCACAGGACGAGCCAGCAGCACAGGAGCCCATCCCGTACGCTATCCCGAGCGACCTCTGGGAGGTACATTGGCATCAAGCTGTACCCACACGTTGTAAGCAGACCCACGCGCATTTCGTGTACACCCACTGGCCACGCGAGGCCGACGACCTCAACCGCCAGTACGCCAAATGGGTCACGGCGCTCGAGAACACCATGATCAGCCATCACCAGATCGACCCCAAGGAAGCCGCAGCCTTCACAGGCCGAGCCCAAGGCTACCAGTTGTCTTGGAAGAAGACGGCCGCCGCCCCAGGCCGTGTACACGTTCATGATCCACAGTCGGAATGGTGGGCAATCACGCTCACCCTCATCAAGCGCTACGCAGCGCTCCACGACAAGCCCAAGCACGCAGCGCTCATGCAGCAGCAGGCCTCCATCATCCAGCAGCGCGCGGACCATTTCAACACTCACTTCCATGACCTCCAGTTCGAGAAGGACGAGGACACCATCTTCCGCTGGTTCGCTCTTGTCTGGGCCCCGCAGTTGGACAAAGAGGACACCGACGACCTGGTCACGATTACCGCTACTTGGGCCTCCAGAGCGCTCTCCGCAGCCCTCGCCAAGTCTAAGAGGGCTTACGGAGCTTGGCTCGCCAAGCAATGGAAACACCGCCCTGGAGTACTACATGCCCATGTCAAGCCCGCGCCCGTACGCCACATCGAGGCCTACACGACCAACCAGACCATAGCCGACCCCACCGTTATCATGGACAGCAAGAAGCAACAATGGCATCAAGTATGGCAGGCCACCGAGACCCCCGACGACATCCTACAGGCGTTGACACTGGCAAAGGCAGCAGCCGCCCGACAACCACTCGAGCCCATCACAGCCGAAATCGTACACCGTTTCCACGGCCGCATGCCACCCAGCAAAGCTCATGGAGTTGACGCCCTTGGACCTCGCGACCTCCATCGACTACCAGAACCAGCAGTCGAAGCCTATGCGGACATCCTCAACGCAGTTGAGCATGCAGGCATCTGGCCACTACAAATCTCAGGCACTATAGCAGCCCTCGCAGCCAAGAAGTCTGGAGGTGACAGGGTCCTCGGCATGCTACCGCACATGGCCAGACTCTGGTCTCGCATCAGATCGACTGCGTCAACATCCTGGACCCAAGGCCTGGACGACTTCTGGACTACAGCCATCAAAGGCTCCTCAGCTCCCCAGGCAGCTCTACATAGAGCCTTATTAGACGAGACAGCATCAGCACTTGGCGTACAGTCAGCCACATTGCTATTAGACATCCAGAAGTTCTACGACAATATCAAGCTGGCCAACCTCATCATGGTTGGCCTCAACTGCGGATTCCCCCCCCCCATCATTCTTCTACTGGAAGTACAGCTATACCTGGCGCCCAGATTCTTGCGCAGTAGACAATGGGTGAGTATGCCTATCTTCGCCTACAAAGGCATCATCGCAGGCTCCCCGCACGGCACGACCCTGGCAAGACTTATTTTACTTCCTATTCTACGGCAAGCCCAAGCTCAGGCAGAGCTAGCCCAGATGTGGACCTTTGTTGACGACACGGTCCTTCGAGCCGAAGGAGTCCTACGCACACTGCTGAAGCACCTCCCCAGCGCAGCTAAGACGCTCTGCGACGGTCTGAAGGAGTTCGAGCTGCCCATCTCTGACAAGACGGTCCTCATTGGCTCCACACCCAAGGTCCGCAAGTTGCTAGCTAAGAAGTTGCGGCTGTACGACATCCCAGTCACTGCGACCGCCGCGGCCGTCGACCTCGGAGTTGACGCGGCCGCGGCTACACGACGGGTACAAGCCAAAGCCAGGAAGCGACAGAGCTCAGCCGCAGCTAGGTTTCGTAAGATACACCGACTACGGAGTACTGCCCTGCAGGCTCGAATCTCAGCAGGACTCTGGCGTACTGGAGCTCTCCCCGAAGGGGTATTCGGTCATCAAGTGCACGGTCTCGCTCGGCACGCTCTACTACGATGGCGGCGTCAGGCCGCTATTGCAGCCACGGGAGCAGCAGCGGGCCGATGCCTCACCTCTCTCCTGGGCGCCACCTTCGACGGCATGGACCCAGGAGTTTCCCTCAGGATCGAATTCATCGAGGCGTGGCTGCAGCATTGGATACGGCACCCGAGCACGCACGCCAGGATTATCAGAGCATGGCCAAGGATCAAGACCACCCTGCTAGCCGCGGGCCCCAAGCTGTGGTGCAGGGTCAAAGGGCCCACAGGCGCGGCCATCGCGACCTTGCTGGAGGCCAGCTGGGACCCGACTACAGCTACTACGTGGAGACGCACGAAGGACGGCTACATCGAGGAGTGGAACCTTCCCCCCGCCGATGACCCTGATCTCCTCGACGCCGACATCCACACAGTATTGCAGGACCTCAGCGAGGATTTGCACAGGCTCCTCTGGACTCAGGCCGCTACGCATGACCATGGTGACACGCTGGCTGGAGGCGCGGACATGGTCACCATACGCATCGAACAAAGGAGGTTCCTCGCAAACGGAGATTTCAACGATTGGGCCCTCAACAACACCGTCATCAGTGGTGGACAATGGACCAGGGACCGCCTCTACAACGCGGGCTACCAGATCGACAAGAACTGTGACCGATGCAGTGCAGGAGTACCTGAGACCTTGTTTCACCGAATGTGGCAGTGCGAGGCGAATGTGGGACCTGATTTTGAGGCCAGCGACAAACTACTACCGCGAGCCGTGGCGGGAGCCAATGCAGACCCTGCCCTTTGGCTCCGTGGCATCCCCTCTGTCGCTCTCACTACGCCCGCGTTCGAGCCATTGACTGGGAGGGACGGGTGGGAGTTTGCTGGTGCGGTGCGGGAGGGGTTGCCGTCATGGGAAGAAGCTCGTAACGCTGAGGGCGAGTTATTTCTTTTCGGCGACGGGTCTGGAGGCGCATTTTCCGACGACGTCAGGCGACGCCGTGTTGGTTCTGGCCTCGCGGCCCTCCGATGGGACCCTCCCTCGGCCTCCTGGACCCTCCACGCGGGCCTCCTCGCCCCCCTCCCAGGCCCCCGCCAGACTGTCCCAAGAGGTGAATTGCATGCGTTTTGCTTGGCACTGGAGACGTGCCACCAGGAGCTTACGTTTGTTACCGATCATCTAGCCCTGCAGCGCGGCTGGCAGAATGGCAGATGTCTCAGACCTGGCAGCCTCAGAGGCAAGAATAAGAATGGAGATCTCTGGCTGAGAATTCGGCACCTCGTGCAAGATCGATCTGGCGGCGGCGCCTCTGTCACGGTGCTCTGGACCCCATCTCACGCCGATCCCCTCACGCTGCATGGCTTCCAAAAATTTCTGGCTCTCAGCAACCAGCATGCCGACGAGCTTGCGGGAAGAGCGGCCCACAAGTCGGCCACCCTCGCCCTCCCGCCCGTCCCCAGGACCGATGAATACGACGCTATCGCTGCCATCGTCCGACAGAGAGGGCGACTGATTCTACGTACCTTAGGCAAGAATTCGGACCCCCGAGGGCAGTGGCCAGAGAGGCAACCCCACCAGGAGGCTGCCCCGCGCTCGCAGTTGCAGACCGCGATCGCGGCTTCTCAGCACAAATTCGAGCGCTGTGCAGACAAATGGAGATGCCCTGCCTGCCTCATCATCGTTGATGCTTGCCATGTTATCCCAGCTGCCGCCACTGAATGTGTACCACCTAGCCCCCTCCCCGAGTTCGCCGCATGTGGTGAAGTGCTGTGGTCGAGGGGACCCCGTGTGATCAGTGGCAAGTTGATCCACCCCTCCCACACCTTGGCCACCATCCCCAAGTGGCAATTGTTTTTCTGTGTTAAGTGCGGCCACACTGCCACGCACCAAGTTAAAAGCCTTCTTTTGCCGTGCCCCCTCTCCCATCAAGTCGGAGAGCGCAGGGCCATGGGACCCACTGGCAAAGGCCTCGAGAACCTCAGCAGGATCAAGCGAGGCCTCCACCCGTCCAGAACGGGTCCCAGCAAGTCTGTGCTAGAAGCCTTGCATGTTTCGGCAGCCGAAGCCGCGATCGGTTCCTACGCGGCGGGAGCTGTCTCTGAGTAAATTGCGAGGCCAGGGGGGCCTGTCGCGGTGGGCCGTGGGATATCGCCCCCCACGGCCCTCCGAGAAAAACTGGATGGCCCCCCTGGCATCTCTGGGTTCCGAACGGACTACGTCCGATTGCTCCACTCCACTCCTCCCTCCTCCCTCCTACTGCCTCCCTCCTCCCTCCTCCCTCCTCCCTCCTCCCTCCCCCCATCCTCCCTCCTCCCTCCTCCTCCTCCCTCCTCCCTCCTCCCTCCTCCCTCCTCCCTCCTCCCACCTCCCTCCGCCCTCCTCCTCCTCCCTCCTCCCTCCCCCCCTCCTCCCTCCTCCCTCCTCCCTCCCTCCTCCTCCTCCTCCCTCCTCCTCCTGCTCCCTCATCCTCCTCCCTCCTCCCTCCTCCCTCCTCCCTCCTCCCCGCTCCTCCTCCTCCTCCCTCCCTCCTCCCTCCTCCCTCCTCCCTCCTCCCTCCTCCCCTCCTACCCTCCTCCCTCCTCCCTCCTCCCCACTCTCCTCCTCTCCTCCTCCTCCTCCTCCTCCTCCTCCTCCTCCTCCTCCCCTCCTCCTCCTCCGCCTCCTCCTCCTCCCTACCTCCTCCTCCTCCTCCTCCTCTCCTCCTTCCTCCTCCTCCTCCTCCTCCTCCTCCTCCTCCTCCTCCTCCTCCTCCTCCTCCTCCTCCTCCTCCTCCTCCTCCTCCTCCTCCTCCTCCTCCTCCTCCTCCTCCTCCGCCTCCTCTCCTCCTCCTCCTCTCCTCCTCCTCCGCTCCTCCCGACTGCTCCCTCCTCCTCCGCCTCCTCCTCATCATCCTCGTCATCATGCCCATCCATCCTCCTTCTCTGCCCCTCCTCCTTCTCCTCGTCCTCCTCCTCCTCCTCCTCCTCCTCCTCCTCCTCCTCCTCCTCCTCCTCCTCCTCCTCCTCCTCCTCCTCCTCCTCCTCTTCCCAGCTCCTCCTAATTAGTTCCAGCTCCTCCTGGCTCCTCCTCTCTCATCCTCCTCTGGGCTGCGGTGCTCATCAGTGCCGCACCCCCCCCAGCAGCTGCTCGCGTGACGGGCACTTCCGAGAGCGGCCGATCCGTTCCGATCCTCCTCGCTCCTCCCTCCCGCTCCTTCTCCCTCCCCCTCCCCCCCTCCTCCGGACTCAGGCCCAGAAGCAGCAGCAGCAGCAGCAGCAGCAGCAGGAGGCGCGGCGGCGCGGCAGGAGGAGCGTGGGCGGCAGGAGCGGGCGGAGACCGGCAGCGGGAGCGGCCGCGGGAGCAGCCGGGCAGCAGCAGCTGGGCAGCAGCCGGGCAGCAGCCAGGCAGTAGCAGGAGCAGGAGCGGGAGGGGTGAGCATCGTTTAACCGGCCCCTATCGTCACGGGCGTGGCTGGGGGCCCCACTGGCCGATTCCCCCCCCCCTCCCTCCTATATGGTGATACAGACTGTTCCAGAGGAGGAGGAGGAGGTGGAGGAGGAGGAGGAGGAAGAGGAGGAGGAGGAGGAGGAGGAGGAGGCCTCCCGAGTCGAGTTCCGAGCGGATCGGGGTCGGAGGACCGCGCCATTTCGCCGATGCATTAGCGACGCGGCGCGAGCCACCGACCCCAGCCACTCGGGACCCCCATTGTGAGAGGCCCGGGAGGAGGGGGCAGCAACGGCAGCCACCGCGGGAGCAGGGCGAGGGAGCAGACACAGGGGGCAGAGGAGCCACCCTCATGATAGGCACCCCTGCAGACGGAGCTCTGTGGCAGCCGCGGCGGAAGAGCAGGCCAGCCGGACAGGAGTTTGGTGGAGGCACAGCGCGGTGCAGCAAGCGACTCCTATGGGGGCCAGGGCGGGTGTCTCCTCCCCTGGAATCAGAAGGCGCCGAGGACCAGGAGCAGCAGCAGGCGAGGGAGTTCCGCGCTGCACCGCAGCGTCGCCTCCCCCCCTCCGCGCGCCTCCCCCCCGAGGAGGCCTGCGCAGGTCGGAGCTCGTCCAGCGAAGGAGCGCGTTGAGGATCGCCAGCACGCGCAGGCAGACGCCGTCGCGCTCCTGGGCGGGGAGCGCGCCCACGCGCGCGCGCCAGCAGGCCGCCGAGCCCAAGCGTTAGGTCGGGCATGTCCTCCTACAGACGGATTTGGGACGAAGAATTAAAAATAGTGAAAAATCGTCCCCTGACTATTTAAAAATTATGTTTGAATACTCCTCGTGTAGAGGGACATGCCCGACTCAACCCAAGCCGAACCACCGGATACAGACTCGGACGCGGATCCATCGGGAATCTCGGAGAGCCAGCGAGTCTGGAGCACGTATCGGACGCCGCGGCCGTCCCCACACGCTGCGGAACGCTCTGGGAGCGTTCTGGGACGCTCTCTGGAGCGATCTATCCTCATCCCAGGCCTGACTGACCACTGGCAAAAGCGCACGCGCGCGTGCGCGTGCGCACCGGGCAGCGGCAGATTAGCCTTCGGCTCAGCGACGAAACGCTAGCGACGCAGGCGTTGGGATTGGCATGACGTGAGCAGCCCTCCTCCTCTCCCTCCTCCTCCCCGCACTCTACATGTGATGGAACCTCTGAGCGGCGCCCGGTGTAGGATGGCCTGCCTTTACTTCATCGTGAACCTGTGCTTCTTAACACCGGCTATCCGCATACTCTATCCTGCATGGCACGGTCATGCTCATCTGACAAATTGCCTATCTGACAGTCTCAACATTCGTATTCACGCGCGTCCGCACCACGTTCACATGCTCTTACTACTGTCATGCTTTCTCGTGGTGCGATCCGCCACCGTGCCCCCATGGCATGTTGAGGCGTGACAGAATGCCACGTGCTGTCTTGTAGGGTTCCTCCTCCTCCTCCTCCTCCTCCTCCGCCACCGCCACCTCCTCCTCCTCCTCCTCCTCCTCCTCCTCCTCCTCCTCCTCATCCTCCTCCACCTCCTCCTCCCCTCCTCTGGAACAGTCTGTATCATCATCACAATCATCATCATCATCATCATCATCATCATCATCATCATCATCATCACCACCACCACCACCACCACCACCACCATCATCATCATCATCATCATCATCATCGTCGTCGTCGTCGTCGTCATCATCATCATCGTCATCATCATCATCATCATCATCATCATCATCATCATCATCAGCATCATCATCCCCCTCCTCCTCCCCCTTCTCCTCCTCCTCCTCCTCCTCCTCCTCCTCCTCCTCCTCCTCCTCCTCCTCCTTCTGCACTCCTCTATAGGGCCCCTTCATCTACTAGCAGGCAGGAGAGCGTGCACCACCACCCCTCCGGAGGCCACGACCCCGCATAAGAACGACGGCTCCGCGCTCCCGCGGCCACGGTCGCTTGTGCAGAAATGATGTGCCGAGGCTCCCGAGCGTCCAAGGACGGCCGAGGCAGGCAACCAAGGCCGGGCAGATGGCCCAGCGTGCCTCCAAGACGGCCCAAGACGGCCCCCCCAGGCGGCCCGAGAGGGCCCCAAGACGGCGCAAGAGAGGCCTCCCAGACGGCAACGGAGGGCGCCTGGAGGAGCCCAGAGAAACCAAAACCGCCGATGCCCCCAGATTGTTGCACGTTGCTTCGCGTTCTCGCCTGTTCGGGCGCCCCTCAGCCCACAAGGGGCCCCAAGAGGAGTCCGTCAGCCCAAGAGGCCCCCAAGAGGATCCCAAGACGGCCCAAGAGGACCCCATGATGGCCCAAGAGGCCTCCAAGAAGGCCTCAAGATGGCTTCAGAGGATCTTCGGAGAGACCCAAGACGGCCTTAGACGGCCCTTCGGCGGCCCAAGGTGGCACCAAAATGGCCCCACGACAGCCCCAAGACATCCCCCCAAGATTGCCCAAGAGAGCCCCAAGACGGCCTACGAGGGCCCCAAAACGGCCCCAGAGAGCCCCGAGACGGCCCCGAGACTGTCCCCAGAGAACCCCACGACGACCGCGAGACCGCCCACAGGAGCTCAAGACAGCCCCCAGACGGCCAAAATGAGCTCCATGAGGGCGCCTCAAGGAGTGAAGACGGAAGGTGTCACATGCGACGGCCTTCCTCTTCAGCCTGCTCATCCAGCTCCTCCTCGCCATCATCATCCTCATCATCCGCAGCACGGCCCGCCTAAACTTTGGAACACGAGGTGCCACATGCGACGACCTCCCGTGCTCCAGCGAAAAGTCGCCACGCAGAATGCTGAGCTGGCACGGTGGTGGGATTTGCCGCAGGCAGCTGGGTAAATCCTCACATTGTCTTAGTACAATCATCCTCAACCGTTCTCCCCCCATCTCCCCCGTCCTGTTCACACACACGCACACACACACACTTTTTAGTGTCGCGGCCCTGCGCGCAGCGACAGGGCGTAGAAGGTCTAAAACCAGCAATCGCACGCGTGCGACTAAGCCCGCCCGAGCACTCGGAGACCACCAATGGTCTCGCAGCCGCCGGCAGCCATAACCATCCGGGCATGGATGGCAGGGGGGAGCACTGGAAGGACGAGACTACGGCGAGGTGGAAGGTGCCATAAGCCAACTGGGACTGCGGGGAGCGAGAAAGCAGAGTGGAGCGACGAGGAGGCCGAAGACGACCTGGAAGCAGAGGCGGCGACGGGCCGTGCAAGGTCGCAGGGTCTGAGAAGCCTCGATAAGCCGGCGAGGCCGGGCGACGCACCGAACACGGCGGCGGCCGAGGTGGCTGTCCTAGCAGGCCGGCCAGGGCACCCCCCCAAGGAGGAGGCGGAGGAGGAGGAGGAGGAGGAGGAGGAGGAGGAGAGGAGGAGAGGAGGGGGAGGAGGAGGGGGAGGAGGGGGAGAGGGGGAGGAGGGGAGAAGGAGGAGGAGGAGGAGGAGGAGGAAGAGGAGGAGCAGGAGGAGGAGGAGAAGAGGAGGAGGAAGGGAGGAGGAGGAGGAGGAGGGGGGAGGGAGGAGGAGGAGGGGGAGGAGGAGGAGGAGGAGGAGGAGGAGGAGGAGGAGGAGGAGGAGGAGGAGGAGGAGGAGGGGGAGGAGGGGGGAGGAGGGGGGGGGGGAGGAGGGGGAGTGCACAGCCCCAGAGAGACGACCGACGACGGCGGACGACTCGTCAACTCTTCAGCGCGGCAACGGTGGCAGGCGGGGCCCGCCTGCGGAGCTGGATGAGGCGGGCTTTAGCCAGCTTCTCCAATCGCTCTCGTTCGCGGGGCGCCGAAACACGGGGCCACCATTTAGCTTCATGGCAGCACGTGTAACATGAATCAACAAACAAAGCGACACTGATGAGCTGAGAAAGAACAAGAGGAAGAAGCGGGAAAAGAGAGGCGCGAGCGGAAGCAGAGGCGGAAGCGAAAGAAGACGGAAGCGAGGGAAGAAGACGACACAGGGGAGAGAAGCAGGGACAAACAAGAATGTGAAGCAAACAATCGGCAGAGGCCATGCCACAAAATCTACAATTGAGAGTAGCACCACGGAAACGGCGGGCGGTGCACCAAGAGTTGCAAAACGTGCGGATGACATTCGCCACGAGACAGGCGGGAGCATGCTTACACAGACGATTGAGAGCAATGTACATCAGATCAAGCTGGGCAGGAGACGGAGGCGAGCCGAACTTCTCAAGCCTTACCTCAAGAATCGACCGCAACGAAATCGGAGACAGAGCGAGAAGGGCGGACTCAGTCACGGCTTGAAGCTTAGGAGTTCCGAAGGGCGGGACGGGCGGGATGGACGTGAGCTTACGAAAGTTGGTAATCATGGCATACACGGCAGACGACTTCCACACCTCAGACCATTTCCACTTCACGAGCATGTTGTCTGCATCGCTCTCATCTTCGAAGAGGGCCCTGGCGTCGTCAAACGCGGGCGACACGATAGCGGCTCTGCACATGGCCGCGCGACTTGCCGCCTCGAGAGAACGAGCCTGCGTCGGGAAACCCCATTCACGGAGCTGCTGCAAGAGATTCTGGGGGAGGCCATTGTTCGGGGCGTTGGTCACACACTGCTGGGCTTTTCGAACAGCCTGGAAGGCCTGCTTCGTGGGAGGGTAGAACTGGGCAACATGCATCAGGACCGAGAAAGCCAAAAGGTTCACCATGACAATGGATTTACACAGCCCAACCCCAACTTGCTTGATCTCATGAGCTCGCGAGACACATTTCACAGACGGAGGGCCCCAACTAGCACGTCGGCCATCTTCCCCAAGAAACACACCGAGATACTTGCCAGCGCGCTGAAAGGTGAGGCCCTCGGCAGTCCTCACGCCAGAGGCAACCATCCTGTCGCAGCACTGCTCCTGCGAGAGGTCGCCAAGCGGTACAATGACCGACTTCTTAAGGTGAATGTGAAGATCCACAGCCGTATCAGCGATCTGCCAAGCTGGCAAGAGATCGCGGAAGGCGGTGAAGACATCAGCAGCGGCAACGCCGATGTCGTCAGCGAAAGCTGCCAAGCACGAGAGAGGCCTGGGGATACGGGCGAGCACGTAGCGGATGAGCGGCTCTAGGGCGAGGCAGAAGATGGCACCCGAGAGTGGGCATCCTTGCTTGATCCCTCGGGAGGCGACGAAGGAGGCCTTTCGGATCCCATTGAAGTTGATGTTGATTTGAACGTCAGTATACAACGCGCGCACGACATTGATGACGAAGGAAGGAACACCCATAGCCCGAAGAACCCAGAAGGTGAAACTGTGCAATCGACTCGGAAAATCAGCCCGGACATCGTAGTAGATGGCCCCCGCGCTTTGGTGGCCGTATTGGGCAAACCAAGACACCGCCTTATTCTCAAGGTTGATAATATTCTCATTCATGAAACGGCCCGCGATAAAACCTCGCCGGTTACCAAGCACAGTTTGGGCAGCGACCCGAGAAAATGATCTGTTGAGGGCGACGGAAACCAACTTGTTATCAGAATTCCCAAGAGTGATGGGGCGCGTGACCTCGGGCTTACGTATGATCTGCTGGGGGGGCATCCTCTGGATCGCTGCCCTTGGCGAGGAAGACCGCCACGCCACGGTTAAAACCGACAGGGGCGCTTCCATTCGCGAGCATCTCCGAATAAAGCCCATAAAGAGCGTCAACAACTGCAGGCCCCCCCTT